ATATGAAGCGAGTGACATCCAATATGGTGGGCCCCTGTGGGCCCCGCATTGATCCGGCCTGAGTCAATCCTTGTGTTTGTCCTTTTGGGTGTGGAGGCTCCTCTTTGGGGGGTTCGTTTAAAGGGAAGCCAAAGGGAAAACCACTATTTTGGGGGGCCCAAAAAGATTGTGTCTTGGTTTGGGTTCTTGCTTCGGTTCTTCCTTCTGGCCAGAGATGCCTCAAGCCGCAGCAAGGTCTCAAGGCCTTGGGGGAACAGCGGGTGTTCCTTGAGGTCCCTATATTTCTGAGTTTGGTGGCAAACATCTCTTTGGCCCAAAAGTGAGCTCGGGATCTATGGATGAGTTCGGGTCAGGACTTTGGCCAAAACCCATTTGGCAAAGTGAGCCTCGGCTTTCCGATCTTTCCGGGCCCACTTCGGCTCAGCTCCCTGCTAGGGCTCGGGGATTAGCCTGGGCCTCAAGTTACCCCAAGGGGTGGACCAAATTGGCTGTCATGTTTTTTGGTTGGTTTTTTTTGGCCGTGTTTGAAGTTGTGTGTGTGTGTGTGGTGTGTGTGTGTGTGTGTTTGCTCTGTTTGCGTGCTTCGCCTTGTTTATCTTTAGCTGGTTGTTTTTGGACGTGTTGTGTTTTGATTGGCTGCGTTTGTTGAACAGCCTGCGTTCGGCTGTTTGGTCTCTGGCTGTTTGTTTGCTTGGTGGATTGTGCTTGATGGGTTGTTTTGACTGTTGTGTTACATTGTTGTGTTTCAGTTGTGGTTGGTTGCCTGTTTGTGTTTGCTTGGTTGTGTTCGGGTTCTGGGTAGTGGTTGCTTGGTTATGATGATTGCTCTTTCTTATTTGCTCTTTTTCTCTCTTGATTGTTTTATTGTTTGATGTTTATTTGATTGTTTGTTTGTCTGACTGCTTGCTCGCTTGTTTGTTTGTTTGTGTGTGTGTGTGTTTGTACAAGTGTGTTTTGTTCCTGTGTGTGTGTTGTTGTTTAGCGTGTTTGTTTCGTGTGTTTGCTTTGTTTGTTCGTGTAGTCTGTCTGTCCGTCTATGTCTGTCTGTGTCTGTCTGTGGTTGTCTGTGTCTGTCTGTGTCTGTCTGTGTATGTCTGTGTCTGTCTGTGTCTGTCTGTGTCTGTCTGTGTCTGTCTGTGTCTGTCTGTGTCTGTCTGTGTCTGTCTGTCTGTCTGTCTGTCTGTCTGTCTGTCTGTTTGTCTGTCTGTTGTCTGTATGTCTGTTTGTTGTCTGTATGTCTGTCTGTCTGTCCGTCCGTCCGTCTGTCTGTCTGTTTGCAGCGCGGTTGTGTGTTTGTGTGTGTGATTTGGTTGTTTCTGTGTTATTATGTTTGTGTTTCTTTGTGTATGTGTGTTTGTTTGTTTGTTTGTTTGTGTTGTTTTGTTTTGTTTTGTTTTGTTTTGTTTGTTTGTTTGTTTGTTTGTTTGTTTGTTTGTGTGTGTGTGTGTTTGTGTGTTTGTTTGTTTGTTTGATTTGTTTTGTTTTGTTTGTTGGTTTGCTTGTTTTGTTTGTTTGTTTGTTTGCTTGCTTGCTTGCTTGCTTGCTTGTTTGTTTGTGTGTTTGTGTCTGTGTGTCTGATTGTGTGTTTCTTGGTTGGCTGGCTGGCTGGTTGGTTGGTTGGTTGCTTGCTTGCTTGCTTGGTTGGTTGTGCGTTTGTTTGTTCGTTTGTGTGTGTGTGTGTGTTTATGGCGTGTTAGTTTGTGTTGCCTTGCTTGTTTGTTGCTTTGTGTGTGTGTGTGTTTGTTTGCTCGTGTTTTATGTTTGCCGTCTTTCTTGCGTGCTTGTTTTGTTTGCTGGCGTGCTTGCTTTTTCTGGCTTGTTTGCTGTCGTGTTGCTTTGACCGTTTGGCTATTGTGTGTGTGTGTGTGCGTTAGGCCGTTGTTTTGTTTAGCTGTTTGTGTTTGGCTTCTTGCCAGCTGTTTTCGTTTGGCCGTCTGTGTGATGAGCCATTTGAGCGTTTGAGCAATTGCTCTGAGGACTCACGTTTTTTGCCAACTACAGGAAGGCCTGCAGAGTGAGAGTGGGGGGTGGTTGCAACGTTTGCTTGAACGACCCCGGTTGTTCAAACACTAGCTTTTTAAACATGCGGTTGTTTCCAAACAAGGGATCCATGACATGGGTGGTTTCCCTTTGAGGCCCTTTTAAACGGTGGTTGATCAAAAGGTCCTTTACATGGGATGACCATTGGAAAAAACCTCCAAAAAGATGATATGTCCCACATGAAACAGTTCCCCGTGGTCATTTGGGGTCCGAAAGGAATATTGATCAACCCCCAATTTTTGAACCACCCCGTGTTGCAGAGGGTTGGCCCATCCCGGGGGAGAGCGCAGCACCCGTCGGGCTTGACGTGAGGTATGGACGAGTGAAGCGATGAATGATGCAGCCGCAATTTGCCCTGCCGGCAAGGTCTTGCGCACTGCTCCCCTGATTGAGATGGAGCCCCAAAACCGTGCCAAAACCATCAAAGGTGTAGCAGAATCCTCTGGGGGACAGCTTGTTGGGTTCAAGATTAAAACAGTACTTCAAGAGATCGGGTGCTTTGAGGTGTACCCTCCCTCACCAGTTGAAGTTTGAGCTTGGTCCAAACAAACCGTTTTTCGGGCCAGCAGCTCAGCAGCACTTTGGTTTTGGGCACGTTGATGCTGTCATCCCAAACCCCCCTGAAATTGGAGCAGAGTTTGACCTTGCGAAGTCCGACATGTCCCGAAGGGGTGTCCTTGTGACTGGATGAACAGGTTTTGGTTTCGAGGGGAGACCTAAAATTCCTGGAGGAAATTGCCCTTTTCGGAGTCCCGTTTAGAGTTGCACGCCCAATTCACTTCATTTCCGCTCATATCATGTTTGGCCGTTGGATGAGCCAAACAATGAGTGCCAGTGTTCCTGGGGGGCAACCAACCGGAAACCAGACACTTTGGGGTCGATTTTGTCACATACCGATATCTATAATATATATATATATATAGATCACGGGCCGATTCGAATCGCCAGGAGCTGACCATTGGAAACCTGCTGCCGCCGGCGCCGGCGCCTCGATGCGCCTCGTGTGTGTCCATAGACTTGGCGCCTCAGACGCTGAGCGCGAGAGACCGGCAAGCGGGCGAGACAGCACAAGAGAGAGGAGAGAAAACGGACGAGAGAATGAAAGAAAGGAACAAAAGAAGAAAGGAAGAAGTGACACAAAGAAAGAAACAGAGAGAGAGAGAGAGGGAGAGAGAGAGAGAGAAGATAGAAATATAAGGAGAAAAGGGAAAGAGTTGAAACGCAGAGAGGGATGGAGGTTTCCACGGCTTGCAGGACCCTGCTGACCCTCGTTTGCGGCGTGTGGTCCATTTACTTCTTCTTGCTGGCAGCCCAGAGGCTTCGTGTTTGCTGCTTGCCTCCGGTGTTTTGGGTGAACCTGAAGGGGAGTAAGTTGTTTAAATCCCAATTTTTTCCGGCCCAGCAACCAGAGGGTAAAATAAGAAACGGAGGTCAACCCACAGGGCGAGTTTCAAGAGGTCAGAACCCAGGTAAACGGGGGGTGGCAAAGGGGAGCGACTGCCCCCGAAGCTGAGGCACGTCCTGCCGTTACTGCAGCTGACGTTACCAGCTAGCCACTTCAGTCCGGAGGCGGTGCAGCGCATGCATCATGCCGTCTTGGGCTTCCTAAAGCAAACAGGGGGGGTGCTTCGCCTTGCCACTCGATTGACGCCAGGGTCCCCTTTTCAAGCTCTGTCTAAGGTGCCCTTTCATTCTCGAGTTTGGGTTGCAAAAAGAAAACAACTGGTATGTGATTGTTCTGCAGTTTGGGACAGATGCCTGTTTGCCACATTCCATGGGGATGAAAAGTGGACATCGACCCTTTGGACATCCAGAGAAGACAACGAGAAGCATGGTTCTTGGTGGTTCCCAGCCATTTTCTTAGGTTTTTCCTTTTAGGGTTTAGTGGTAGCTTCCACTAAACCACTAAGACTTAGTCTTTTAGCAGGGGATCTGAGGGCAGCCCGGGGTTGACATGGGAGCAATCATGGCCGACGGGCTTCTGAGCACCGTCCCGCTGCTGTTTAGCTGCAGCGTGCACCGGAAGCGTTTTTTTTTCTTTTTCTCGTTTCCACCTTTCGAACAGAATTCAGGCTTGTGACAAACCAGTGTTAAAGCCAGGGATGTCTTCTGTTTACCGAAAGGGTGCAAAAAGCGCCTGTCGGGATGGCCCTTGGTTTGACACTTAGCCATCACAAGATTCGACCTCCGGTGTTGCCCTTTTTTCCTTTTTTGTGTTTCCTTGGATTCAGAATCAAGCAATCACAGAGCGGGTATGCATTTGTCCCCGGCGGCTAGCCACTGGGCCATGGTGAATTGAGTCCCTGCAGGTTCCTCAAGGGGAGCTGCCGGTGGGTTCGGCGTTGCCAGAGGGCAGGGTTGTTCCTCTCGCCGTTCCCAAAAGATGACAAAACCGGGTAGAACATCGGGGAAACGTGTCGAATGGATCGGGTAGAATGGGAGCAACCCTGAAGAGGAAAGAGGCCAACCAGCGAATGACAGGGTGCCAGGGCCTCCTGTTCCTTCGGCTAAAGTGCCCCAGTTGCAAGCAAAATCCTTATGGAAGGGATGCTGATGGATTCGAATCTCCGGCGTCACAGCCTTGCAAAGTGGGCGTTCAAACAAAATGCGCAATTGAGCAGGAGTTGGATGGCCATTTGACCACGCATGAACAAATTGGAGCTTTCAAAGCACTGGCCAGCTGTTATGCTATCATATCTTGCCCTGATGGCCGTAAATGCAGGAATTCCCCGTTTCTCAGGAAAGGAGGGGATGACCCGAGCTGAACCATCTCACTGGTGGAATCCTTCAAGATCCCAAAACAGATCATTCTCAAAAAGCTCGCAAAGCGTTTTTCCTCTGAGAAGTCATAGGTGTCCTTTTTGGTTGGTTTGCTTAAAACATAGAGGGCCCTGGTTTAGGTGGGGTTTATTCCATTTGCCAGGGCCACCTATTTTTCCAACAGACCACCTATGGAACCAGTTCGTTGCGCATAGCGTCCACGGGTGCCGCATGATGTCACTGGGCGCCATGGCAAAACTTGGGCCGGCCTTTCCAAACGGCTCGGGTTCCGTGAACGAGACCTACATGAGGCGTGGATGCTCGGGTTCTGTGGGGTTTTTCTTTTGGCGGGCCCCTTCCATTTTGACACAGAGGTGATATTGTGGGATCTACAACTTCCTTCAGGATCCTGAAGCCACAGATACAACTGAAGTGTGTTGATCGGATTGGGCATGGCTTATGGAAGTACCTGTACCTCCCTTTTTCCCGGGTCTTTTTCCTCGGAACATAGAAGCACAATCCAGGAATCTGAGTGGTTTTTGAAAAGGATGGACAGAAGAATGGCTACGAATGTCGATCGGAATGAATTCCTCTCCAGAGTGGTGGGTGGAATGTCCATTGGCAGGAGGCTGGATTGCGCGAACGACCGGCAATGGTCCTCCTTCCAGCGGCTGCTGATAGGCGAGGCGGCGAGTTTGGGCTGGGGAAAGAAAATTCAACCAACCGATGTTTAAATGGAAATCAAGGGGAGCTTGTTTGAATGATGGAAGCATGTATCAACAAGTGTTTGGCCCAATTTTGCTTCCCGGAAACCCCGGGATGTTTGAAGAACAGCTAGGTAGACATGTTTAAAGCGTGCCAGACACAGCTTGCCTGTTTCAACTCATTGCCTTTGTTGCTTTATTGGTGTCCCTGTTCACCCAGGAGGAGGGCCAGAAAAGGTTCAATGAACATGTTTTATCAACAGCCGTACACACACATGCTCAAACAGTAGGGGGACTACCCCTGCTGGGTACCCATAGGATGGCAAAGACAGCAAAGGCAGAACCAGCTGACACAGGTTTTCCTCGATGTCCTTTGTTTTGGCCTTCAATCGTGGCAATTTCATTTGAACCCAACAGCAATGTGTGATTGCAGAATCCGACGGGTTGTGTGACACAGGCTTCAATTTTGAGTGGCCTAGTTGGCCCCAGCCACCCTGCTAGGCCGCTTTCGACTTGGGCGGATTGCCGAGGATGAGCAGTTGCAAGCAGCGGCGGAAGCACTTCTTGGGCCCTTGGACCACCAGACACGGAGCTTCTTCCAGCAAGGCCATGGGCTATGCTTTTTTAGCCATCCGCATGTTGCAGGCCTTGTTTGGTTTGGCTGGCCCCTTTTGGGTGTGAATGTTCTTGGGTCTCGGACTTTGCTTTTAGGCCGGTTTCGGGCCCTTGAGCAATTGAGAGATCCCTAAGACTGGTTCAGCATGGTAATCCGCTGTGTGTCCTTGTTTTGGTTGGCTTTCTAGAAGGGAGTCCGGAAGTTGCCCCCCAACCAGCTGTTGGTATTATCTTGTGAGTCAATCTTTTCAAGCTTCTGATCTCTATCAGTTTCCCCTCTGTTTTTGCTTTTTGGGTCTGGATCCGCAAGTTGCCTGGAACAGCTGTTCCTCCCCTTTGGTGTTCTGGAAATCCTTGCTTCAGACTTTTAGTTTCAAATTTCACAAGATGTCCAAGTGTGTCCCCTTGTCCAATATGTTTTCCCCTGGATTTTTCCGGAAAAAATCCCAAAAATTCAGACAGGCAGCTCCAGCTTCTTGGCCAAGCTCCTGGGCCTGCACGGCAGCTTCTGCTTCCCGGGCTACGTGGCGGCCTGCTGGGTGCGCCTGGTGCGCTTGGCGAGTCAGGAGAAATGGCTTGGCGGGGCTGGTTGGCTTGGACTTCCACAAAGAGATCTCCTCTAAAAGAATTGGCTAGATACTGTGGATGGTTGCGACATCCAGAAATCGCACCACATGATTTGCTTTGGTGTTTACAGGGGATTCATCTTTCCAGGGTTTCTGAGGTGGTGCAGGATTTCGTTCATCCATAGTATGTGGAACAACAAATATGAAGCAGAATCTGAACATATGTGTTGTTGTTCGGTATACCCGGTGTACCCCTTCCAAGAAAGGGGCACACCTGAATGCGCTGGCCTTCGCAGGAGGACCCGCAGCTTGAGGCGGATGCCCAGCACTGCAGCAGCATCTTCGGGAAGGAGGCCGCGGCCGTGCTTCTTCCACTCGCTCAGCCCATGGACTTCAAGCTTTTGGAAAGACAAGTGTTGTGGTGAATAGAAAGTTCAGACTTTTTTGGGCCAGTCTCGGGAAGTGAGTCCATTGCCTATTGCGGGTCCGGGTTTTCAAGAGAAACCAAAAAGGAGACCGGGAAAACTGGAAGGGCGCCTTTTTGTTGTTTCCCCCGGTTTTGTCAAACAGGTCGTCCGAACACCGAGTGAGATCCATGAAAACTTCAATTCAACAATATACCCAGAAGAGACCAAAGATGGCGGACGCCTGTGGAGGCCCTATTGCCAAGACAGCCTTTCTCAGGCAAGGCTTGAATGGACCTCAATGGCGCTCTAGCTAACAGAATCAAGTTTACTAAGGCGCTGTAGTAAGCCTTACGCAGGTGGGACACAGAGGGTGTGTTTTTGTTTGTGGGTACGCATTTGGGGGTTGTTTTGAAAGGAATCCAAAGGCAAAGCGAGCCCGGTTTTGTAGGTGTCCGAAACCGTTCCGTTGTTGTTTGGAACTGTTGTTTGCTTGGTTTAAACGGGAACCTGTGAAAGCTGCTGATTTCTGGGGACAAATGGAGCAGCATGATGCATCAACCCCTAGAAAGACCAGAAACGTGTAAATCCTTCTCAAGGCTTATGACACCAATTCAGAAGCGAGTTCCTCCTCACGCGCGTAGCACGCACGCGCATCGCCCGTGAGGGCTCCTTGGACCTTCTGAGCTCCACGAGTTGGCCCATCCAGCTGCTGGACGTGGAGATCTTCATGCGCCGCTGCCCTGACAGCGCCTTCGGCTCTTTGCGCGGGGAGAGGCCTTCCGGGGGGGTTGGGTTCCTCCCCAAAAATGGGTTCACAGATCGGGATGCAGGTGAGGGGATGATGAAGGGGTTGTCTTCCAACAAAGAGTATTGGAGTTCTTCGGGCTTGGCGGCATGTGTGTGTATTTGTTTTGGAGTTGGTACCCGTTAAAACGGTTGGCTTAGGGAACCAAAGGCAACAGAATCTTTGGGATGTCCCTTTTTTGACCTCAGACTAGTTTTCAAGAGGCAATTTACCCTTCGGGTGCTATGGTGGGAGGGAAATGATATGATTGGTGTCCCTTTTCGCCAACCCTGGGTTGCCCTTTGATCCTCAAGTGGGTATTGTAAAATTTATCAACCACCAGGAAACCACGGGTGATCCCCATGTCCATTTTCCAGGGTTCTGGTCGCTTTTTTGACCAAGTGGCCTCCAGATGGAACCGTTCGGACCCACCTCAGGGGGGAACCGCGTCTCTCGTAGGCACGCCTACACCTTTCGGGATCTCCGGGAGCACTGGCGAACAAGGCGGTCAGCCTCGAGGTTGGAGTAAAACCTCCGGTCGCTGGAATCGAAATCGGGGGAGATGGTTTGCGGTGGGAAGGAAAACCAAAAAGGCGACCTTCCATTTGCTGAAATTGACGTTTGTTTATGTCCCCGTCTTGATTGTGAAGCGAATCTTTCACTGGAAATACTTTCATTTTTGTTGCAGGGACTGAATCAAATGGAGGAAACTTCCCACGCGGAGGCGTTTGCTTGATGGTTTCGGTTTCACAGCACAGCAACAAAATCAAACTCGGGGCTCACCCTCTTTGAGAAGTCAACACCAAACCTAGCCTACAGGATCCCAGTTGGCACTGCAGATAGCGAGCCATTGGGGTTTTTCACGGGTGGTTCGATAGAGATATTTGCTATCGGGAATTGGAATCGTTGGGATGGTTGGGTTGACTCATGGTGAGCGGGGCGTCCAAATGACAAATATCAAATATTGTTTGTGGTTTTGCCCAATGGTCATCCTATGTATCATGGATCTTTTGATCAGCCCCCGGCGCTCTCCAGGCTCAGAGTTCGTCACTCCGTGGACCCCGAGGGCCTTAACCGCCGCGTGCAGCGTCCGCTGCGGAGCCTTCGCATCACTTCGGTCTTCGGCGGTCACTGCCCCTCGCATGAAGTGGTTCGTTGCAGACACTGGCACCACTCCGGCGGATTCACAAGCAAAGGATAATTAGCATGCTTGGAGGAAACTTCTTTTGGGCTTCCAGGCTACTCTGTAGGGGAGAATGGAAGGTGAAAGCGCTTGGCTGTGCAAATTCTGGCCAATCAGGAGAGGTGTAGCTCGTGTTCTGAGGCATTTGATATGGGATTACTGAGCACTGCTCCCGCATCCATTTTCTTGTACTTGGCACTTGCGAAACAAGCAAATGATGTTGACAGCCCTCACCCCACACAACCGTACCTATGCGCATGCATTGACATTCCAAGTCAAGCCACATGTTGAGGTCTGAGCCGAACTCGGATATTTGCCAGCTCAAAGCAGCTGCTGAGGCTCACTTTGGCTAGAGCCTCTCTACACGCTTCAGGTCTTATTTCCTGAGGCCGATTTTGCAAAGTGTCAGTCTCCATGACCCTGAAATGGTATACTCCCACAAATCAATACTGAAATGGTATACCCTTCGTGTGTGTGTGTGTGTGTGTTTTGCGTACGGATCCAAACGTTGTCAAGACCTCTCTTTGGGCTATGTAATCTGTAGAGTACCTGGGTGATGACGTGAACCTTCTTTTGAAAGTCAATGTCGCTCCGGCCCCCTGCCCCCCTTGAAACATCCCGTGCAAAGATGTGGCCGCCAGGTGGTGAATCCTCTCCTTGCCACCTATGACGAAGACCGGTGTTCCGATCGCTTTGCGGTGGATTTGCCTGTGGCACACCTGAAACGCTCCGGCCAAGATGCAGCACTAACACAGGCCGATGTCCTGATTTGCATGTGCCCCAGCCCAGTGGAGCCGCTTTCTGTTTTGCGGGAGTGTCTCTTTACCATCACCCCAATGGGTTTGTCTCAAAGTACAGGATATTGGAATGGTGTTAAAGGAAAGCAAACAATAGCAAACCGCCTGGAGTCCCTAATTGTGAGAAGCTCCCCAATATGTGCGAATCCCCTCTCAACTCAGCCGCCCAAAGGCGGCAGCCCTGCTTTGTTTCGGCGCTTGCAAGGTGGGTCTCGGAGTGCACGCGGCTGAGAGTTCACTACTCCAAGCCGGTGATTTTTTACAGCGGCTTCCTACTGCTGACCGACCAGGACACTGCTTGCTAGTTTGGTGTGGTGTGCCCCGAATGCAGGATCCCCTCTCAATACCTTTTTGGTGGGGCTCGTCAGTCCCGAAAGTCTGGTTTTTGAGGCAAACCAACAGCAGGCTGTTCAACTATTTAGTCAGCTAGCCCTTCATCGGTGGAAACCAAACGGGCAGGCATACCTAGCCTTCAACCCAAGTTTGGGGCTTTAGTCTCAGGAAAACATCCAAACAAAAACAGGAGGGGTTGGCACCCGTGGTTTCTCTCCCTGGTTGTAGGCTTCTTCAGGTTTAGTTTAGCTCGCAGAAGCTCAGCGCAGGCCTTCCAGCCTGGCCACGCCTGGTGGGAGCCTCTGCCCTTCTTCTGGGACCGCGTGAAGCAGCTCTACGCCTGCGACGCAGCCGAAACGCCGGCCGACGGAGGCGAAGCGGCTTCGCCGGGGTCGGGCGAAAGACAGACAGAGTCAACCACGAAAGCAAACAGACAAAACAAAGCAGAAAACAAACACGAAAACACACAAGCGCGGTTAAACATGGGCATGTCTCAAGTTGCAAATCTTTCAAGAAGACACAAGAGACACGTTGAAAAAGCAGATGTTTCAACCGCTGCAGTTTGAAGAATCTCTTCGGGTCTGGGGTTTCCGGAGGTCCACCCTGCGCGGTGGTCTTTGAAGAACGGCAGCTGGCAGCAGCGGCCCATTGGCAAACCGGTGAGCAGCGGCCCTTTGTCCGGCCGTTATCACTCTACGTGCAACTCAGTTGTAAGCAGGGTGACCTTGTATTCTTTTGATGTCTTCCCTGCTTGGCCCGTTTTCAGTCAACAGGGGTTTCCCTGTTTGGCCCATGTTTGGGCAAGGGTGTCCGTCTCCATCTTTAGTCAAGACGTCCCCCAAAGGTTACGCTGTTGTATGCAGGTCCTGTGGGCAAGTGAGGCAATGCAGGCATGACCCACTGAACGCTCGTCCTGAAGTGCTGGTGGTGAATCGCGGCCGCTTGGTTTTGGATGGCTTGTTCACGGAGGCGCTCAACGCCATGCGCCACGTATCATACCCAGACTTGACTGAACTTTGCTTTTTGGCCCCTTCATCTCCTCAATGTCCTCTTGAACCAAAGCCTGGTCGCTTTTCGAGACGGGCAATGTGTTCAGGCATCCTACCCCTATGGATTTACGGATCAGCTGGAGGGCATGGCGTTTCAGTCCATGGCCTCGTTCCATATGGCGGTGCTGCTTCCATGGGATCTGAACCTCGTGATGTTCCACGACCTCTACGCCATGGCGTTGCCGCTGCTTCTGCCGGACAAAGCCGGGCTCCACCACCGCGCCTTTGCGACGTGGCCGGCAGGCGAAAGGAAAAGCAAATGCCCCTAGGATTTTTGGGCCGTCATGGCCGCCGGTGGGCTGAACCCCCGAAGGATTCTTGGGAGACTAGAAGGTCAGAGCAACAGAAGTGGTTAGGTGGAAAAAGAGCCATCGGGCCGCTCAACTAAGCGCCAAGGTCTACCTCTCCAGATTTCAGAAGTCGAACCTTGGACCCTTCAAGGAGTCGCTGCACCAAGGCGGATACGAATTTTCTCCTTTTGATTTTGAGTACCTGGAAGCGCGAGAATACTGGTTGGACTTCACAGAGTACCTGACTGCTCCAGAGGTGCCTCAGTCATTTGGCTGTGGCTCAAAAAACCGGTACCCAAATGGAAGCCTGGAAGGTGGAAACATGGACCAAAACCTGCGGTTTGCCCCTCCGATCGTTTAATTTTGAGCCACACCCATTTGATGATTTCGAGCCCAAACCGGCCCAGATGAATCGAACCGGGGTTTTCGGTGAGCCGGGGTTTTCGGGGGAAAAAGCCGCGGGGGGCTGTCATAGGGGATCCCCTTTGTGAGCTTGAAAGCCTCATGTTCAACTGGGGAAGCGCGAATCTGGGGACTTGAGGGGTTTAATACAAACGAGTCTTAGCACAAAGCGAAGACTACACAAAAACATTGAACGCCCCGTTTCTGGCAGGCTTTTTGGCTTGGGGGCAGGGGGATGCAGGGGGTGTGGCTTTTGGTGGGCAAACCTTGTCTACTTCAGTATTGACGAATATATATATATATATATGTATACTAAAAAAATGAAACCTGTTCGCGCGGAATCTGGCTAAGCGTGCACCTGACATTACCCCACGAGGGGTGGGAGAGTTGGGATGCGAACGCTTGAGAGGTTCAACACTTCTCGAGCTTACCCGACCTGCTGCTGCAAGCTGTGCAGCTGGATACTTCCCGAATTCATCGGCAGATGCGGGCATACAACGCGCAGTGCTTCCAACGGAGTCACTCCTTTTGGTCGAAGGCAGGGTTGGGGCAACTCCTTGTGGAAAAATGTCGTCTACACCAGCAACAGCTTCAACAACTTGATGGCGCAGAGTGCTAAGCGGTAATTAGCCGTGCATCCTAAATTATAGCCCACTCAGGGGACATAGAACTAGTTTGGAGTGCCAAAGCTATGGTTGCTAGCCGCTTACCTGACTTACACTGCCTCTTTGAGGACCTAATGGATTTATAATGGTTGATGTTCCATCGGGATACCAGAAGGGGATTGTTAGTGTCATGTTTCCAGACCCCTGTTTAACAACTGGTAAGGCAACCTGCTTGTGGTTTCCTGGAGGCGCAAACCAAGGTATAGTTTTCAAGATTCGCCTTATATAGTGATTATAGCAGAGTCAATTCGGAAGTGCCTTTGATGAGTTGGATTACAGCTCCCCTTGTTAGAAAAATCAACCTGGCAAACAGTTCAAACAGCCGCTTGCTATTGCCTGTTAGGGCAACCTATTGGTCAACTGGTTGAAACAAAATCTGGCAGCCCCACCCCGTTCTTCTCTAGCTTCAATCAGGGGGGGGGGGCAGCAGGAAACCATCTTAATTACTTGCTGGTGCACCCTCAAAAACCATCCAACTGGTGGCTTCCTGTGTTCGGATCCCCTTCCGGTTCATGGCCACATTCCCTACCTATTGCGCCAGCAAGCTTCGGTTGGGGAAAGCAGACATGTCCTGACCGTGGCCCGAAGGTGCTGGGCATCCTCGGCGCTTTCCCGCAAGAGACCTGGCTCGGGTGTGGCTCTGCGCATCCGCTGGACAGCCACATGCCTTGGGCTGTGCTGGCAGGGGCGGGGCGAGTCAGGGAAGTGATGGGCAACCATGGTGAAGACCCACTGAACGGTGACATACAACCACGATTATTTTGTGGGTTATAATCATGGTTTCTATCCACTTCTAAGTAGTGGTTGGCCTTGTTGCTTTCACTGGAACACCTTGTTTTACCCGGATTTGATTTGCTTTTCTGATGGGTGTGTGTTAAACGGGGCCCCACCCACAAAATTGGGCGATTGCCCATTGGTTTCCCTTTAGACATCGTTCGAAGCAAGTATTTGGTGTGTGCTTCGCCCCGCATCTTCCATGATTGCGCTAGAAAACCACCTAAAGCTAGGGGCAATGCCTGGTTTCTGAAAAGAGCGGCGGTTGAACGGAGTGAGAAAGGAATTAGCTCCCAGAACTGAGGCGAGAGTGTTGTGGAGTCTCCGTTGGATGTGTCCTGGACGGCGGAGCCCCCCAGCAAGCTGCAGCCTTGGCTGATCCTTGGCGGAGCATTGGACGGCAGCTTCGTGAGCTACGTGGGGAAAGGCTAGGAGAGGGTTGGGCCAACCACCTGTTCAAACAGTGGTGCCCCCCGCCCTTTTGGTTCCTTTTGGTTCTAAAAGAACGTTTTTCAGTGGCGACTGGAGGCTTGGATGGAAGGCCCAGGCTTCAACAGTGTCTGGTGGTGTGGCTGTTGCTTCTTCAATTCCGCCACCCCGGTGCTGCTTGTGTATCCAATTCCGCAACCCTGTGAAGGCAACCACACGACCAACACGGCGGCCTTTGGGCGCTTGTCTCTGCCCGAGCGGCTCGAGCTTGAGATGGTCACCGGAGCCTTCCACTGGAAGGTGGTTCATCTTATGAGCTGCTGGGTAGCACATACTGTAGCCGATGTGTGTTCTTTGTTATTAAGGAGACACTCAAAGGGATTGGTGTTTGTTGTTTCTAGACCCCTATTTAATATTTTAGTTTCTGCTGGACTTTCTGAGACGCCAAAACGAACATGTCGTTTTCGATCAAAGATTTGCAGTTTCAACAGGATGATAGTCTGCCAAAACACTCCTGTCCACGCAAAGCGGCCAATGGTTCTACGCCCCTTGGCCCCCAGGCTGTACTCAGCGTCAGCACATCCGCTGCATCCTCTTGCTTCTAGATCCGCTCCAGCCTGAGTTGCGAAGCGGTGTACATGATTGTTTGGGTTTGGTTTACTTTGGTTTGTTTGTCTGGTTGGTTGGTTGCTTGGGTGGTTGATCGGTTGCGGTGGGCCATGTGGTTGTTTCACGTGGGAAATCAAGCCAATCCAACAAGGCCAACTTTCTGGAAAGACATGAAAGACCGCTACGTTGTTTGATAATCATCCCAGCGCCACTGATGCTGATGAGCCGTGCGGCAGTGGCGTGTCCATGGGTGTCCTTATAGATTAGTTTGGTTGAAAACAGATGGCACTGGCTTGAGTTTGGTTTAATCACTTGTCTCAGTGAAATGTATTATTGGAAGAGAAGATCTAGGGGCATGTCATGTTCTTTGATCGCGCTGCCATTGCAACTTGCTGGCAAAGGCGCTGGGAATTTATAGGCTGGCCCGCGGGAGAATGGGTACAGTGCGGTGCTTTCCTTGCCCAAACACACTTCAGCCGGAGACGGCAGCTTTCTCCGAAAAAGTGGACAAACCGTGTATGCTGAAAGGTTTCACACAGGATCCCCGCCCGGACAAATCATCACGAGCTCACCACCCCAGGGGTAAAACGAGCTAATTGACCCATGATGCACAGGCTTTCGGGCACATCCATCAGAGCCCAGCTTAGGGGTCAGCCTAAAATTGGGTCCCCGTTTGGGGTCCAAATCAGATGCTTGGACCTTCAGCGAATCGCACCGCCAGGCGGGCACCTGTTCTCGATGCTGGGTCCGGAAAAGGGTCTGTCGCAGGTCAGCTCCTCAGTCTAGCCGGATCCGTTGCCTGCGAAGAGAGCAGTTGTTGTTGGGAAACATTTTGCATTTTTGCTTATTGTGGTTTAGTGGTTGAACTCCCCACTTAACTGCTAACATTTTAAAAAAGTGCTCCTCTTCCAACATCAACCAAGAAGAGAGCGGTTGTGTTTTCCTGTTGCGTTCCCTTTAAAGCAACGGGTCCCACAAGCGGGGTCCTTAAAATTGGAGGTGGACCCCGTGGCGAATGTTTCGTGAGGTTCCCCTTTTTTCTGCCAATCCTGAGAGGGTACCCTCCCTTGCGCCTGGTCGCGAATGCTGCACTCTCCCTTCTTGCTTGCATCCAGCATGTCCCAGGGTCTTTGAGGGTTCCCCTGTTTGCGGCCCTGAAAGGGAGACGGCAGGAAAACCGAAAGGCCAGCTTGGTTCCACAGTACATTCCGAGGCGAGGTCCAATAAGTAGTCACTGCCTTTCTCATCAGTTGTCAGGCGCATGCCAAATCCAGGCTCCGAGTCTTTCCTGAGGCTGGCCTGCGGCTGGCGGTGTGGCGGATGCGGCGGTGCTTGGTGCTGCTGCCTTTGCCAGGCGAAAGATGTCGACTCTCCACTCCTGTATCACCATGGTGCTGGGAAATGGGGTTCTTGGTTCGTATTTCGTGAGTGGCCAAGGGCACTGGGGTTGGTACCCGTTCATTCCAGGTTGCTTGTTTTGGTTCAATAGCGAAAGGGACTCAAGCCGATTTTTGAGGTGATATACCAGATTTGGAGAATAAATAACATTCGTCCCCTGCAGGTGTTGAGAAGCTGATGTCCCACCACCTCCCAGGCCTAGGCACCGGGCGTGTTGCAAGTTTATTTTACACAAGCAGATGGACGAAATCCTGCACCAGTTGAAATAGATGAGGCCTATTGAGATACTGGCACAAACTACACATCGGCTGGTGCAAGGTTTTCTCTATCCACACAACCCCTCTTTCAAGGAGAACACAAGGCAGGTTGTCTAAACATCAGGCGTGTGTAGACATGGGTGTGTCAAAACAATGGACCCCAAAATCGGCGGTACCCAAGAGTGAATTCACTCAAGCATGGCCAATAGGTGATGTTTAAACTCGCCTACGCGGGAAAAAAATAGGGAGCCCTGTGTTTAGACAGCTGGCGGCAGGCATCACCAAGACACGGCTGCCCCGACCTCGTGGGGTGCCACGGCGGGTTCAACGTCTCCTGACCCGCGCGGCGGTGCGACAGCACTGGCGCCAGTTGGCGCGGCTGAAAAGAAGCGGCAGTCGGGTCAGGCAGCGCCTAGTGGGAGACTTGAAGCGGCAAGGCACTTCGTAAGTGCTTCATACGCATGGTTAATTATGATCCAGTAGGAGAACTTACCGCCATGGCTGTGGAGGGTTATTTGCCCGTGGCAATTAAACACTTTGGCCCTTTCAAGTACGCAAGCCTGTTTTGGTTTCTGTTTGGTTCCTCTAACAGCCCCGAAAATGGTACGCCTAAAAGGTGACACACCCTGAGCAAGCAGTTGGTACCACGTGAAGTGCACGCTTTGAGGGGGAGCGGGGAGATTTCTGCCAGGATTCGGACCAGATGATCCGATTTGTTTCCATTGAATTATCTCCCAAAACACTGCTTGGTCTTCTTTGGAGGGTCCAACAAAAAAATCCAGGAGTGCACGCCCCAATTGGCCGCTTTCGGGGCTCGACTTGCTTTTTGGACTCAAAATAAGGCCTGAAACAGAGGTAGAAAATCGGAGTCGCTCCCTAGAGTTTCCCTTTAGCAGACCCTTGGGCCGATTGAGTCGGACGTGGGCTCTTTCGCAAGGACAAGCCCCTCATGGGGCCTTCACCGGGTTGCTAAAAACAAAAATCCGCAAGATCCTGTGCCAAATGGGAAGGGCTTCCCTTGTTGTGGCAACGGAAATCGGACTGGTATTAAGGCTCCAGGACCCAACCCAGTTTGGCACACGCAGCTTAGACTCATTAATCCCCACTCTGTTGGCGAAGACCACATGCGATTGGTTGCCAGGCATTCGGACAAAAGATGCGATTGTTGGAAAAACATGGGGGACCAAGTGTGGGTTGCTTGGTGTTGCCCGTGCCTTCTTTGGGAGAGGTTGGGTGGATTTCGTCCTACCAAAAGCCTTTAAGCGTTCATGCTGCAGGGGGACCCGCAAAGTGCGCGGTTTCCCTTTGCTTTCCCTATAGCATGTACCCTCGCAAGCAGCTCCCCTGTGCACTTTGCGAGGGTGCTCTGCTAAGGTCAATTGGCTACCACGTACCGCACATGCTGAATCCTGCCGACGTCACTGTTGGGTGAGCATGAATGCTTTCTTCGCTCACCATTGGCTGTGATGAGGGTGGCAGCATCAGCAGTCTTAAGCAGCTTTCACGGATCGGCTGCATTCAATGGTGCTGCTCACTGTCATCCATTTGTCGTCCAAGTTTCCCCAAAGGCCCCCCAAGCTATATTTGGGCTTGTCTCAAATCAGAATGGTTGATCTCTGGTAGTTTCCAGTCCAAAACCAAAACCCATTTAGCGCATTGGCAAGAGTTATTTGACACCAGAGCCCGGTGCTTGGCTTCTCACTCGGTGCGCCCGAAAGGCCCGGCTGCGGCCTGACATCACAGTTGCGACATGAAAAAAGCCGAACGCACGGGGGTATCCCCAGCGCTTCCATCTATTTACCTGGAAAGTCTGCCGAGTGCCAAGAAACTATCTTTCAAAAGGACAACTGGCTAGGTGCTTCTTGCAGTGGTAGCTGGGATGGGCTAGCTGCTAAAAGCGGCATTGACATGAAGGCCCGAAGTCCTAGTGGTCAATCAGCTGGCCGCGGATTTTGGAGATGAGGGAATAACTTGCATGTTAGATTCAAGAAGCAAATGGGGGGTCCAATCCCCCCAAACCACTCCAAGCAGCAACTTAGACTTATTTGACTTTTGCCTAAGGAAATGGAATGGGGTCAGTGTCAGTCAGGTCACTTGGTGTTGAAGGCATGCGACTCATGTCAGCTTGATTCGCCATGGAAAGCAGCTTGCAAGTCGGATTGATCAGCTTGTGCAACTTCTTTTTGATTGCTTCCCATCCCCACACCTCCACTGGGCCCATTCAAAAATCAGAGACCGAAACGAAGGGTTCAACGATTTCCCCTTTTTCTCATGGAAATCCACTCGGGGGGTTGGTTCTTGTGCGGAGCCTTGGCTTTTTCGGTTTCGGCACAGGTGGCCTTTAGAGGATGGGTCCATTGCATCGCCGGGCTGGCCGGGCACCGAGCGCATGCATGATCTGTGGGCTTGGTGGTTGTCGCAGAGAATATGTCAGATTTTAAGGTCGACGAAATTGGAAGCAGAATCTGCAACAGTTATTTGGTGATTTTGGGGTACCCTGGGGTTGGCTCAAGGTTGGAAGCCAGCAGGGTTTCTCCGAAGCGCAAACAAAAAACACCGGCATCGGGTCCTTGTGGTTTTTTTTTCTGCGTTGGCAGGGGCCAAACTTCTCCCCGAACCGCCGCATCAAACTCGAGGCACTAACTACGATGATGCTCATTTGCTTCTTCAGGCAAGGAGTGCCCTTGTGGGACATTGAGAAGGGGGATCCTTTGTTGCAGGGTGTTCAGAGAAAGTCAAGAGGAAGTCAACCATAGCTGGTTGCCCCCATTTTAGGACTCACCCAGCGACCTTCCAGGTTGGTCAGCCCCAAATCTGAAAATTTGATGGGTACCCTGCCCCACACCTGAAGATCATAGAAAGTCCCTGCACGTGGATGGTCTTGCAGTCAGCTTGTTTCCAGGCCTACTGGGTGCATGTTTGTTTCCATTGAAGAGCAATTTTGAGGAGTGTCCATGTTGGAAAGCACCCTGGTTCTGGGTCCTATCCTTTTTTACACAGCTGCAATGAGTTTTGCCAACTTCACGCAAGTCGCGACACGTGCTCCAAAGCCGCCGCGTCAGGGCTGCCCTGACAATGCCGGGGCAAGTGCCAGAGGCCGGGAATACTTGGGGCAAAGTACTTTGTCGGTTTAATACTCATGGTTGACTTACACGTGGCGCCATGTGGCCTGTAGTGCCACAAAAGGACAGGTCCCGGAGTCCCGGATTTATTTTTTGTTGGGACTGAGAAACCAGTGTCTCGATTAGTTGAATCGCAGCCCCGTTTAGATGGAGGGCCTTTCGAACCAGAGCAAAATAATATAGGCTAGTAAAGAAAAGCAAACACCCCAACTCCGGGTGGGGAGAACAGACTTTGCTTGTCTCTCGAAAAGAGGGAACATCCGGCTTTGGAACATCGAGAGGTATTGTGTATGCCGGGAATAGTGAAATCATTGGCCCAGAGTTGCGTCATTGCGGTCAAGTTGTATTTGTGTTCCACTTACTCAAACAGCTACGCCCATTGGAAACGAGGTATGCATGATCATATAGTTTTGAAATATTGACTATGTATGGCTGTATATCCCTCAATTCACCTTGGGGTAGTGGTTTCAAGTCATGAATGCATCTTGGGATGGCATCTACTCACAGATTGTTGAAGCATCTCGAAATGAGGGGCAGATCGGATCGAAAGCCGGCCAGGGTGAGGAATGGCGCTTCGGCACCTTCAAGGAGCTTTGGCGCCTTGAGGTTTGTTTGGGGTGTCGGACGTGTTGCACTCGTGGAGCATGTGTGGAATCTCTTGTTGGGGGATAATTTTCAGCGGAGTGCCTTGCAGGATCCCAACGCCATCAGAGAGGCGGGCGCAAATCCGTGCCAATGTGGGTACTTTGGGAAGCTCTTTCCCGGTGACGTCAGGTGAAGTTCTCGGGGGAGAGACGAAGGTGCAAGCATTGCTTGATCTACAAGCCCGACAGGCATGCCCGCGATCTGGCGAAAATGCCGAATCCAAGAAGCTTTCGGTTGAGAGCGATCGGGTAGAAAGTGGTTAGTAGTTATGGGCAAATCCCTGAACCGGGATTTGCAACCATGGCTTTTGGGTTATAAGTTATAAGCATGGTCAACACTTAGCTCACTTCCTGAGTACCTGGACTTTAGTCACTGGGGAGCGCCATTTTAGTGGTACATAGAAACTTTGCTTATGGAATTGTTATTTACTTTTTTCGGGCCACTCGATCGGAAGTGAGCTTTACGCATCTTTGCCTTCAGAGCCCTTCAGGTTTGCAAGTGGAAGGTCTCGGCAGTGGACCCCAGCTTCCAGGTAACCATCGTGCTCTGAGTTTTAGGCTCACTGGGAGCTGTGAGGAATAGGAGAAATCCCAGCCATGCCTTTCAAACTGACCTCTTTTCGAGAATCCCAGTGATTCCAGCTACCACTATAGTTGGTAGGGGATCCTTGCCTCTAGGTTTTGCCGATGGTTTCCCCTGATTACCTATGGTGGCTTGGGCTGAAGCACTCGGTCGTTTACATTTCTCGGAGCTTGAGTGAACTTGGGTGAACAGGTCCTCACAGGAAACGCACGGGAGATGTGGCGTCACTTCTCGAGTGGATTGACGGAATCCGCCTTCCTGGTCCTTCCCCCAACTTTTTGGGGAGCCGTGCGGAATTTTGGCGCCCCGCTGGGAGCCGAATCGTCCAGAGCCGATGTCCAGAGCCACGGCTTGAATTTTTTGAGAGCGGCTTGCGCAGGTGTCACCATTGCCGAATATGTCATTGCTGCATACTGCCACTCAGCTCCATTCTCGCACCGTTAGGAAGCCATAGTTGTATCTAAAAGTGGCTACGTTGTTCAGTTGTTAAACGCAAATCATACATCGGTTGAAAAAGCTTACATAAATCCATCATATATATATATATATATGTATGTTTGGTTGTTTGATTCCACCAGTCCGTAAATTGGTTGGCGCACAACATGTCCACGCATCTCTCGGTATTTCTGGAATTCACCAAAGGGCAAATTGGTTGCATTAAGCCCAAGTTGCCCATATCCTCAGTTATTCAGTAACACCCATTTTCCATCCTTTTTTTTTGCGGGGGCGGGCCCACTGAAAATGGTCCAAGCCCCAAGAAGGGTTCCCTTTTTTCCCAGGGCCGCTGGACAACTCGGTCTCTTTGGGCCGCCCTTTTCTTCTCGGCCCAGGAAAATGGATCATCACTGCCCCTGGATCATGAACTGCGTGGGCTTCAGGCGGGCGATAGGCGATGGGCGGCGCGATAGGCACACAGGCGCGAAGGCCTGAGCTGCACCCCCCTGCCTTTCCACATGTCCATTCTGTTGATGGATCTGGACAAATGACCACGAGCTCAGGAGAAATTAGAGCGAGCTCACTCCTGAAGGTCTGGGGTGCTCCCTTGGTTTGCCCACTCGATCCACATAATTTCCCGGCGTCAGTGCGGCATGTCAGAAGATGCCCTGTCTTTTTTTTGCTGGTGGTTCATGTTTTTGGGGTTCCCTTCAAAGCGAACCAAAAATGGGTTCCCCAACAAAAGAGACACCCGCATGGCATCCGGCCTGGTAGGAACCACAAGTATTTCTTCCTGCTTGTGATCTACTCGATTCTGAGCAAGGGGCCTCAGCGCCCCACTTCAGGGCTTCTTGCGAGCGCTAAGGGCAGAGCGAACAAGATCTTAGTAATGTGCTGAACTACCATGCTTAGGTTGTAGTAAGATAATGGACATGCTGAAGTAGTATCATTGTTGATTGAATGTGATGTTGATATTGACGCCATTGACACCTGTTTGCGAGGCATAGCCGCGCTGAATAGCCCCTAAGTGCACCGCCTCTTGCAGCGCAAAGCTCTCAGGCTGTGGTTTCATTGCCCTCACGATCACCGAAACCATCGTCCAGTCTTTGGAGCAGGAAAGCAGCCTATTTGTCGGTTTTCCAGCTGAGCAACGAACAAGACTACAAAGGTTCCTTTGCTGTGTGTGTGTGTGTCTCGTTATTTTGGGACCCCTTTTGGTATGGTTTTAAGCCAAGAGAAAGCCAACCATCTTTGGTTCTCTATTGACTCTTGCAGGCTGAGATATCTGTGGTACTAGTGTGCATGGACAAAGTCCTATACCAGTTGATACATACTGAGGCAAGCCACCTGCCAACTGTTGCAGGAAGTTGTCCATCTCAACAGTATGAGTCTGCTGTATCATGGGACACGTTCTTTTGGTTGAGAAATAATGGGCTTCGACAAACCAAAGGAAGAAAGGACCTGCGATTTTGGTTAGCCAGTCGAGTTTATGGACCCTATTGAAAATCCAGTTGGCTCAGCATATTCAGAGCCATGGCAAGGGGAGACATTGCTGGGTAATACTGTGGAAGGACGAAATCCGTTCGCACCACTTTGAAACTGTTTGCCGGTATTTATCGGGGAATCGTCATTCCAGGATTTCTTTGGTGCGAAATGGATTTCGTCCATCCACAGTAGTGACCATTAGTCCCTGTCAGGCATCAAGCGCCATGGCTCTAAATTGGATTGGAACGGTTGAAACGCTGACAGGAGCTGCCATTGAGCCATCGCTTCCTCCTCATGCAATGCTTCACCACCGCCTCGATCATGGGCACCTCCGGAGTGTTTGCCGATGGAATCACCTTGGGGCAAATGAGGCATGTTACCCGTGAAGGTCCCTTGCTTGGCGGATCCCAAATTTCCGTTTTTTGGAGTTGTGGTAAGATCTTCGGATGTTTGCCACATGGCCGGCTTTGCCAAAGACTGACTATTGATCTGTCTTTCTGAAGGGACCCCATTTTAGGTGTGGTTTAAGAAAAACAAAAGGAACTCCCTGCTTGAGACAGTCCAGAGGTCATGGACGTTGAGACTTGGAAATGGTCACATGTTGATCTATCCATCTGGTTCCCTTTGAAGCAGTAAACTCGCAGAAAAGCACCCACCAGGTTGACACTTTCCAAGAAAGACCTTCAACTCCAATCTCCTTTCAGGGTTCCTTGTGGTCCCAAGAGGTGCAGACATTGCCTCTCTCCCGTTGGTGAAAACAACACCTTTGGGACCTTTGAAGGGGGCCAACCGGAAATGGTTCAAACCAGGCTGGTTGAAACATAACCCAAGCAATGCACGTGGGAACGTGCAGCACCATGCTGATTTTCTCCTGTTTTCCAGGCGTGCGCATGTGCATGCCGGCTCAGGGCACGTGTACTTTTGACCTTGGCTTTCTAGAAGCAGACAATATGCCCAACCATGGTTATATGTGCGGCATGTTTATTGTTCTTCTTTTTTCATGGATTCCCTTATTCTAGTTACAAGGGCATGTGTTCCGGGGACCTCGAAACAAGCGAAACTTTCAACTCGGGGCAGCCTTAAAGACCCAAGCCGCTCCAATCTGCATGTGCGCCAGGGGCTTTGCTGACGATCTTCGCAGGGTTTCACGTGATGCTGATGCTCAGAGGCCTTACGCCCCGTGGCTTCAAACGGCTTGGCCGTAGGAAACCATGTGGGGTAAAGCATGCCATGTTTCAGCGTTCGGGGAAACCAAGCCGGTCTTGCATGTGGGGAAACCAAGCATGTTGCCGTTTTGGGGAACCCGACAACAGGAATGGAGGTCAAAAGACATGCCTGAACGGCAAGTGGCTTCTCAAAACAAAGTAGTGGGTTTCCTTTGGCTTTACTTTGAAACGGCCCCAAAAAGGATATCCCCCAGTCAAGCTCAAATGGCTATGAATTTGAAGGACGACTTTCGGGGCCATTTCCGTGATTGACTTTGATTTCTCGTTGAACCACCAACTCACTGATGGTGGGAAATGGATATACCCGCCCTCCAACTTACATGGAAGCTGACAGCATGTTGGGGTTTCTGCCCCCAGTTCATAGCCGCAAATGAAGGCGTCTCTGGAACCCAAAATGGGCGGCTACCCTTTTGGTTCTCCTTCATCATGTCTGGGAGGGCAATCCAATGCAACTTGTGCCCACCAAAGGGCCCCCAGTTGGGACCGGCCGGCTTTTGTCAACTTGCGTCTGAAAATAGCAGGGTACTACTTAGACTGGGGTTGTGGGGTAAAACAAAACCAAATGAAACGGTGATCACAATAACATGTCTAGTTATGCGGCCTAGTGTGGCCCTTTATATCATTGATTTAATTTAGCCCTGTGTCCTGCTGGAGAGTATTAAATGGTTACATGAATACTAAATTACAGCACGGTTTCGACCAAACTGACCCTTGCAAAGGACAGCTACACATCGGAAGTAAAGTCTGAAAGGAAGTTGGGCGAGTCGCAAAATACAGTGGCACCAAATTGGGTATTCTTCCTGCTGCTTTCAACGAATATCCAATGGAAGCTGGCAAGATTATATACATATATATATATATATTTATTTATTTGCATACACATGTATGTGTGGGGGATGTCAAACCTTGCTGCGCTCCGAGGACCATCGAGTTTTGCGAGAAGATGTCCATTGTGGCGAACAACAGCAAATCCTCCAAGTGCCGCCTTTGTGTCCAAAAAACAGTATCTTGTATTTGCCCTTGTTTGGTAGTTTAAACGTTAGGTTTTGGGACCAACTTTGATTGACATCCCTTTTGGTGCCCCCTCTCACTTTGAGGAAAACCACGGAAAGCCGAAAGGCAGCTCGGGGGAACTCACATTGCGAGAGCGCAATGCCTTCACTTGGTGCAGGTATGATCTTGGCCTCTACCGCAATGTTACCGTCGCTTGACTTAACACAATGGCAATTGGCATAGGCTGTGAAATGCTGTCAACAAAGCAACGGGGAAATTGAGATCAGGGGATCAGCAACATGCGAATGATTGCCATGTGTAGGGCCAATTGCCTCTAATTGTTGGTGAGCCGGTACCCTGAGGTCAACCAAACAAAGAATGGCAAGGGAAAAGGCAGAGAGGTCACTGCTGGGGAGTGCTAACAGCAAGGTTCCACCTGTTTTTTTTGGTTTTACAGGGATTACAGGGAGGCCTATTTGAGTCATTGTAAGAATGCTTGTAGGAGAACCCGCAACCCAAATGTTTTGTAGGTTCTTCAGGGAAGCTGTAGAAATCACCTAAAAGCAGCGACTTGTTTGGTTGTTTCTCTCATTCTTCAAAAAAACAAAACCGCCGGTCTGGGCTTCACGCGGTCTTGAGCTAGGCGGTGGTTGGGCCGCGGCCGTGGCTGTGGCTACTTCCACTGGATCCGCCGGCCGGGAATCTGAGACTTCCAGTTCTGTGGCGGTTTGCCTTTTAGGGAAGGCCCATGTTTCGGGCACGGTTTTAGGAAAGCAAACATTCAGAACCCACACGGGCGCTGAAGGAAAACCGATCTGGGAGCTGTGCAGGTTCCATCATTGGGAGGGTTATCCGTGAATTCTGAGCTTGCATTGCTTTGGGGATTTGGGCCAAGGGGAGTTGAGTATGGTACTTGTCTTTGTGGGGCGATTACCCTTCCACAGAAACATGGAACCCACTCGTGACGTGGATATGGTCGTCCAGTCGCTTTCAGGTTGGTGGTGTTTTTGGGCGGGTAAGTTGTTTGGATTGGATTGGGATTTGAAGCCCTGCTTGTGGAGGTCCATGAGAAGCCCCCAATAGCAGTCACTCAGAGAGCTGAATGCTTGCCTCATGTCTGCCCAGAAAAGGCGTGGAAGGTTCCCAAGTGGTTGGCATTGCAACATTCACCATGGTAGGGGCCCCCAAGCGGATGTTTGCCTCCCGCACCCTTCCGCGTCAAGTTTGCTGTTGTGCCGTTTGCAGCCTGCAGGTCGGGGACGGCCTCCAATTTGATCTCACGGCACTGGCCTCGGAAAGCTAGGCCCAGTGATTCCAGTTTTCTGTTTGGTAGAATCGCCCTTTTAACAAATGGAAAGTTGCTTGCCGACTATACCTGGGATCTACCGATATAGTCCCAAAACAGACCATGTAATTGGCCCTTTGTTGCTTCAAAATCGCCAAAAACAGGTCCATCATTGTGAGACAGATTCATACAGGGTGATTGCCGGGTTTTGTGGTGTCACTTGATGCCAGAACCTTGGCTCACGCGGCTTGATCCTTGCGGGTACTGAAAAGGGCAATGTACTTGCCATGTCTAAACCACTTGCTATGGTCGTGAGTGTGCCAGGAAGCTTTACAGCTCCTTCAGGTGGCTGTCACACTCGCGTGCAAGTCAAATGGCGGTCACAAGTGGCTTTGAGATGGTTGGGAATCTGCCCCTTAGCAGATCCTGTCACATGATCAACGGAGAATAAAATCAGGGTATTGGTTTTGGGTGGGCCGATTCCTTTTTAGTTTTGCAGGTTGATGGGCATTGGTTTTGGGCAGTGCCCTATCGGTTTCTGGTGTGATGATGTGGACTTTTATGTCGATCGCAGCTGTCTTCAAGCTATTTCAATTCCAGATCTGTTTCTTGGAGAAAAGCAGTGCGCCACTTGTTTGAGAGTCGGGACAAAGACAGGCTCCCTCTGTCGCACCAGCGGGCCAGCAAGGCGCCGGGTCAGGATCCAGAATGGTCAGGACCCAAGCACTAGCAGCGCAAGAATCAACCTCGGCCGCGTTGGTATTTTGCTGTTTCGCGCAGTTGCAAGTGGGTTGAAGTTTGATGTACAAACCACTTGCCAACTTGGTAACGGACACCCGCATAGAGAAACACCCTATTAACATAGGGCGATTGGGAATCAAGGCCTGCCAAACATAGTGAATTGGGTGGAAGCCCGGATTATAGCGGTGAATGGGCGAAACCTGAGCAGCACCCAAAAGGCATTGACTTTGAGTTCTGGCAAGATGTAGGCCTTGAAAGCACGAGCGCGTGCATTTTGATCCTAAGGACTTGACTCGCGCCTCGGGTTTCACCGGCGCCAAAATTTGACACACCAGCCACCCCATGGAACCCACCGGAGTCCCTGAGAAGGATGTGTTGTAAGCCCCGAGTTAGGTTCCATGTTGGTGGGCTGGAGCTCGGATGCATATTTTGCGGAAAAAAATTGCGATGATCACCTTGCAGAGCCACAAGAACAAGAATTGTTTTGGTCTCCTTTTGATCTCTTATTAGGCGCTATTGTCCTACCTTTTCCCAGGGTGTTCGGAGAAACCCTGCCAGTTCTGGCTGAATGCTACGAGTCAGATGGGTTTTGGGAGCCGAATGGAGAGGCCAGAGTCAAGAACCGCCACTAGAAAGTCGAGAGTTGCGAGTTGCGCATTATGAGTGGAGAGTTCAGAGTTACGAGGCGAAAATCGAGAGTTAACAGCCTGGTATTTGAGTTCAGAGTTTTGAATTGAGTTGATGAGGGGAGTCGAGAGCTGAGAGGCGAGAGGTGCGAGTCAAGAGTGGAGAGTGTGAGAGTCAACAGTCGTGGAGAGTCGAGGAGCGAGGCGTAAATCGAGAGTTGGGAATAGTACGAGAGTCGAGAATCGAGCCGAATTGAATCGAATGGAGTCGGTTTGAATTGAATTAATGAAAAGCAGTGAATGTGTGTTATTGAAAATGCTAGGTTTGGATAAGAAATCAACTATTGTTTTTTTGTAATATTTTTTATTTTTTTTTTTTTTTTATTTTTTTTTTTTTTTGTAATATTTTTTTTTTTTTTTTATTTTTTTTTTAATTTTTTTTTTTTATTTTTTTTTTTTTTTTTCTTTTTATCTTTTTTATTTTTTTTTTCTTTTTTTTTTTTTTTTTTTTTTTTTTTTTGTTTTCTTTTTTTATTTGTTTTTATTTTTTTTTTTTTTTTTGTTTTTTTTTTTTTTTTTTTTTTTTTATCTTTTTTTTTTTTTTGCAAATCTTGATTTTTGTTTATTAACCAATAATTATTTATAAACTAAACACACAGATTTTTCGGAGATTATTTATATCTAATTATATAAATAAAAATATAATATATATTTTAAGATATTATTTTCTTTAAGGACATATTTAGGGAGTTGGTTAAAAAATTAATATACATCTATTCTATAATTAATCAAATTTAATTATTATTTTATTTATATTATTATATATATAAGCAATATTAAATTATATTTTATATAATAATTATAATATTATTTATTATATATATTATATTATTTATATGATATATTATTTTTATCATCTTTATTTTATAATATATTATTTTTAATATTTATATTCTATTTATAATAATACTTTATTTTTATTTTATTAATTATTGGGTGGTGGTGGGGGGGGTGGTGTTGGGGGGGGGGGGGGTGGGGGGGGGGGGGGGGGGGGGGGGGGGGGGGGGGGGGGGGGGGGGGGGGGGGGTTGGGAGGGGGGGGGCGTGGGGGGAGTTCTAGAGGGGGGGGGGGGTGTGGGGTGAACGTTGGGGGGGGGGGGGGGGGGGGGGGGGGGGGGGGGGGGGGGGGGGGGGGGGGGGTGGGTGGGGGGTGGGGTGGGGTGGGGGGGGGGGGGGGGGGGGGGGGGGGGGGGGGGGGGGGGGGGGGGGGGGGGGGGGGGGGGGGGGGGGGGGGGGGGGGGGGGGGGGGGGGGGGGGGGGGGGGGGGGGGTGGGGGGGGGGTTGGGGGGGGGGTGGGGGGGGGGGGGGGGGGGGGGGGGGGGGGGGGGGGGGGGGGGGGGGGGGGGGGGGGGGGGGGGGGGGGGGGGGGGGGGGGGGGGGGGGGGGGGATGGGGGGGGTGGGGGGGACGCGGGGGGGGGACGGGGGGGGGGGGGGGGGGTGGGTGGGGGGGGGGGGGGGGGGGGGGGGGGGGGCGGGGGGGGGGGGGAGGGGGGGGGGGGGGGGGGGGGGGGGGGGGGGGGGGGGGGGGGGGGACCAACCAAACTGGGGGGGGGGGGGGGGGGGGGGGGGGGGGGGGGGGAGGGGGGGGGGGGGGGGGGGGGGGGGGGGGGGGGGGGGGTGGGGGGGGGGTAAAACCAAAAAAAAAAACAAACACTCACACACCAAGAGCCTCACCAACACGAACAAAAACCAACAAACATCACATAAATCAAAACAACATAACACTAAACAATACAAACACAACAAAACACAACACACAAAAAAACCCCAAACACAAAATCCAACCAACACCACACCAACACTCCAAACTCCATACACACAACCACCAACAAAACACCAAACCCAACATACAACATCCACCACACAAAACACACCCAAAACCACCCCACCAAAAAACACAAAAACACCACACCAACCACACAAACTCCACAAAAAAAAACACACAAAAAACCACCCACATACAAGCGAAAAACACCACTAAACAAACCAAACACCACCACACAACTACACACCACACACAAACACAATACAACCAACAGCAACAACAACACCAAAGCAAACACCTACACACCCAAGCTCACACAACACCAAAACCACCACCAAACACAAAACAATCAAACAACCAACACAACCACACACAAAACACAAAACACAAACAACCACAACATCTCCCACCACAACACCACAACACAAACACACACAAACCCCACCCACACCACCAACAACAAAACAACAGCCAAACACAAAAACAAACACAATCACAACAAACAACAAAAAAAACACTACAACACACACTAAACACCAACAACAAAAACAACCATAGCACAAGAAACCCCAACACAAACACAACCCACCACAAACCAATAAAAAAACACAACACACAAAACAACACACGAAAACAAAACACACTCCACACAACCACACAAACAAAAACCACAAAACAAACCAAAAAACACACATCACAAAACAACCAAACACTCAACAAAAAACTCAACACCAAAAAACACCACCCACACCAACAGACCAAAAACACCAACCACCCACCCACACCTACACAACACCCACACCAGAACAATACCACCCACAACAAATATACATCTACTTGGACTACAAAACAAAAAAACACCAAATAACACCATCCAAAACCAACAAACAAAACAACACCAGTCAACAAAAAACAACATTAACACCCCACACCATCACTCAACACACAACACACAACAAAACCAAAACACCACAAACACAAAACAAAACAACAAAAACAACCACCCAACAAACACCATCACAAACCCAACACAACACACAACACAACAACCAAACAAAACAAAAGTACACAACACAACCAAACCCACAACCACATACCACCAAACTTCAAACCAAAAAAACTCCACCACAAAAACACAACCACCCAAACGCACACAACAACAACAAAACAAACACACACTACCACAAACCCAACTACCACAACCACAAACCACACACAACAACACCACACAAATAATACATACAACATAAACAAAAAAACACAACAACAACAACAAAACAAACAACTACACACACACCAATCAAACTACACAAAAACTTCACAGACACACACACAAACCAACAAAACATAAACCATACACACACTAACCACACAAACAACAAACAACCAAACAACACAACCAACAACCCAAAAACACAACCACCCAATATCAAACACAAACCCAAACACACCCCAACAACAAACACAACACACAAAAAAAAAAAATTTAAAGTTAAAAAACAAAAAAATGTGTAAATTTTAGTGGGTTCAAATGTAGGAAAAACAAAAAAATGCATGGGTTCTGGTTTGTAAAAAAAAATGGTTGCAAACAAGTGGGGGTGGGGTGGGTAAATGTGGTTTTGAAGGTACAAGTTCGTAAAATGTGAAATGAATGATCGGCTATCTAATCCCATGGGTCCAAAGTCGAAAGAAACTCACAAGAACAACCCCAGCATAAAAATACATACAAAAAGTAAATTACATAAAACAAAAAGTATTAATAAATAAACCTGAATATTAAATAAGATACTCAAAAATAAACAATAAGCATGAGAACAACACAAAAT